TTTTCTATTTCTTTTCTTGTTTCCTTATGCCTTTGCACCTCCCTTTCCCTATTTTTCCTTCTTAATTCTTTTTTGTTTTTTATATCTTACATGTTTTAGAAATCTAATAAAGAAATGTAATTAAAAAATTAAAAACTATAATTAAAAACTGTATAAATGTGCATTTTAATAAGGTAATGAGTATCATATGATTGAGGTTTTATTTTTCCATTAAACACATTTTTGCATTTTAAATTAATCTTTTCTTTTTCTTCTTCTCTCTCTTCTCTTGTTAAATTACACAATTTAACTGTCATGCATTCCTGGCACCTGAACTCAGAAACCACTTATATAATGCCCAGTTGGGCCTGATCTTTTCCCCCATAGAACTATGAGCCTTCTCAAGGTTAATGGATAACGGCATGCATAGCCATTTTTGCCAAGCTGGTAGATGCCAGAAGAGATACCCCTCTGTCATTTGCACAAACAATGTACGTTGTCCAGATATGGGGCCTCCCACATATCTAGTGCCAACACATCTGGATTTCCCAGGCAACAGGACTGGATAAGACAGATTTGCAATGTGATGTGAAGTTACATGTTTTTGTCCCCTGCTGTGAGATGTTTACCTTGCAGCAAGATAAAGACATATATACTGTAGCAATGTGTTCTGCAGCTGGATTATAAAATGATCATTTCCTATTCTTTGCATGTGACCAAGCACACAGCTTTCCCTCCATACAGTAACTTCCATGACCCCTAGCTCGCATGATTGGAAAAATGCCCACAAATGATCAGTTTCACAAATAACAATATGAGCGTGTCTGGATCAAGTAAGGAAAGTTAACCATTTTGGTGGCTTGGTTTCATTTTTGGATATGTTTATAAGAGGACGCTACTCAGAGAAGTTGAATCCTAAGTAGGGTTATGATTCTAGTTACAAATTGGTGTGAATGATATGTATTTGCGCTAGCCTATCTGAAACAATGGTGGACATTTCTTCACTTGCAAGAACAAATGTACTATATTTTTCGGAGTATAAGACACACCCTTTTCCCTCAAAAAAGAGGCTAAAAATCTGGGTGCATCTTATACACTGAATACAGCATTTTTTGCCTCCTGAAACCCCGTCCGCTTCACCAAAATGACCTTGCATAGCCTTTAGGAGCCTTGCAGAATGTTCCTGGGGGCTGGGGAGGGCAGAAATGAATGAAAAATGGACCGTTTTTAGCTCAATTTTGCCCCCCCCCCAGCCCCAGGAGCACTCTATAAGCCTCCTAAAGGCTATGCATGCCCTTTTTGTCAAAAAAGGGCTGTTTTTGCAAAAACGGACCATTTTTTGCTAGTTTGGGGGGCATCCCCCAGGAGCACTCTACAGGTCTCCTAAAGGCTACTGTGTTTCCCCGAAAATATGACCTGTCCTGAAACTAAGGCCTTGCCACATTTTTCCTGTGGGCAAAAATATAAGCCCCCCCGAAAATAAGCCCCCTTAACAACCTCCTCCAGACAGGCAGAGCTCTGCTCACTGACCTAGCGATATCCCAAAGGCACCAAGCCGTGGGAGTCGGGGGGAAAAGGCACTCACATTGCTTGGCGCCTTCAGAACACTGCTAGGTTGGGGAGTGGCATTCTGCCTGGCTGAAGGGGGGAGTTGCCGGGTGGATGCTCCTTGCGAGCAGACTCCCGAAGAGCCGGGCACAGCCTCAGGGTTCAAGCAGCCATGAGGTAACCATGCTCATGAGCAGCCGCTCGGCAAACCCCCTCTCCAGCCAGGCAGAGCGCCATTCACTGACCTAGGGGGTCGGGATACTCTCTAGATCAGTGCATGGAGCTCTACCCAGCTGGAGAGGT